AAATAAGCCAAAAGGAGAGGATGAACCGCGCGGATCTACCAACTTACATGCTCAAATACTGGACACTTGAGAACCTCCCCAAAGCTATGTTCCTTGTGTGAAACCCGACCAATCATCGGATTGCCACAGTAGCGGCACTCCACCAATGGAAGGTTCCCCTGCGCATCCCTATAAGCGACAAGAGAGGGCGCATCTGACTGTGCCGCTGCTAAGTGAGAGCTCGATGCCATGCTTCATTTTTGTGCGGCCCCACGAACTAGGGTTTGGCAAGAGAGACGGGCAAGAGAGGAAGACGGAGGAAGAAGAACAGCTCGGGGAAGGAGAGCGTGACTGGATAGGGGTGACTGGGTTGGGTTCGACCATGTAGCCGAGCTAGGGGTAAAGTCGACCAGTGCAAAGATGTTCTCTCTTCAATTCCAGCGAAAATGATATTTTAATGGAGGCGGTATGCTACGACTAAGGATCTCGTTTTCGTGATGGTGCTCCGCCAATACTGGAGTTGGCAGTGTGCTCCAGCAAAATACACGAATCTATAATGTCCCACGCCAAAATTAGCCTTTATTTTTTCATGTATGAACTTTGGAGTTTGAACTTTGAACTTTGAAATAAGGTCTAATGAACTTGTTGAATGATATCTTAGTTTGGTAAAAGTGATAATTACACCATAAGTTAAGTCGGTGTATATTTATATGCACATTTATGTATAAGTATATTCATATATTAGTATTATTATTATAAAGTCCGGAATGATACGCCCGTATAGACATATACTGGAATGTTCCATTCCAATAGGCAAAACGGAACAGCCTCCGAGAGTCCAACTCCTCTCCATCGCTCGCGCTTGCAGTGATTGTGGTGAAGATATTCACTTGGAGGAATTTAGAAAAATCCAGAAAAATTTATGAGAGAGTGAACAAAAAATACCAGCTGTGCACAGTAAAATCCAGCTGGTTTTCACACCAGCCGAACTGCCCCTCGGTAGGATCTTGTAAGCACTGCAGGTGGGCCCCGGACAGACGAGCGGCAGGCGGCTGCATGCCCCCCGCGGCGCGCCCTCGCTGGCTCGGCCTCGACCTCGGCCCCGGTCCCCGGCCCGCCGCCCGCCCGTGTAGTGTAAAGTGCGTCTGCGCCGCCGCCACCTACACGACGGAAGCGCGGCGCGAGGGCCGACACCTACACGCGCGGCGCGGTACTTGCGCCGACCGGGACCGTAGCTACTCTGCTCGCTTAGCTTAGCTGGGCTTCCGCCGCCCGCCGCTGCCTCCAACAGCTCTCACTAGTAGAGTGGGCTTTTCCATCGCATGCAAAGATGCAAGAGAATACAAACCACATTTGCAATCAAGCCACAGGGAGCTGGCAACTTTCTGGAGTAACATTTTTGTTTTCGGCCGGTATCACCAAATGTTAGGATGAGTTTACTTCGCGAAATGAAAATTTTTGATATCACATCGGATGTTTCGGAGATGTTAAAAAGGGGTTTTCGGATACTAATAAAATAAACTAATTACATAACTCGCCCTGAAAACTGCCGAAATTATTAAACCTAATTAATCCATCATTAGAGCATGTTAGTTACTGTAGCACTTATGGCTAATCATAAACTAATTAGTCTTAAAATATCCGTCTCGTAATTTCTAACCAAACTGTGCAATTAGTTTTTTTTCATCTATATTTAATACTCCATGCATGTGCTGCAAGATTCAATGTGATAGCTTGGGATGAACTTTTTTTAAACTAAACCAGGCCTTATCGGCCTTGTGGAGCAAACAAAAACTCTTTTAGCAAACATTTCTAGTGACAGTTTTGTTGTAATTAATACATTCCCCTAAAAACCGTTTTGAAAAACATTTAGCAAACAAAAACGTTTAGCAAACATCTCTGGTTGACAGTTTTGTTGTAATTAACTCAATTTTGCAGCTCCTGTTCCTCAGTAGCAAAACAGATCCAGTCATCGAGACCACTAATTTCAGGACTTCTTCGCCACAACGGTTTCTTCGATGACCATTTGGCATGGGCTGATCCTGGTTTTTTTAGAGAAAAACACTCTGACTGGTTTAAACTGGCTAAAATCAAAGCAAACAGGCTGCCGAAGCCGCTTCAGAAGCACCGTCAAGCAGTCAAGCTATACTCAACTGCTCTGCCAGGCGAGTTAGCATGCAAGAACACTTCACCGGACGCATTGAAATCAACAAGGGTACAACATTTCAAAGGGAAATAAAGAAGCACAGCTAGATCCCATGGGCAACAACCAAGCCCATGGGATCAGGCACACGATTTGCCCTGAAATTTTGAGACAGATTACGGCCCTGTGCGGGACGGGAGGGTTTGCCACATAGAAATCAACCATGCGCACAGAGCATTGCACGGGGTACACACACACACAAATGAAACGACAACAAAGGTTGTTCACGATTCAGACATAGCATGCAGCGGGGCAGGGGAGGATAACTTGGTGAGCGCAGCTAACATGGGCATCAGTTGCCGCCAAACAGGTAGCCCAGGGAGGAGCCACCGCCAGGAGCAGCGTGGACCTTGGTCGAAGGACGATCCTGAAACCATTCACAAACAACAACACTATCAGTTAACCAGGTCCAAGACTTAGTATGACACGGTTGCGTTGCATAACTGGTAAATGAAGAAACAAGGTTTGGTTTCCCGGGAGTGATTAAGCAAGCCAGGTTCACCTGCTTTCTCTGTTATATATAGAGTTTGCAACATTGTTCATATATGAATCTGTAGTTTTGAATGAAACTGCAATAGGATTCATAATTCGGTATTCCCTGGTATGAGGATGAGGATTCATAATTTGCGCCCTTGTATTGATTCCGCGTCATGACACAACTATGGGTATGTTTGGTTCGGCAGGTTCTAGCTGATAGTTTATGGAAAGACATGGTCTGACTGTTTTCTTAGGGACAATTAATTTTTTGCCACTAACAAGGTGTTAGCATTTAGTGTTGATGATAAAATGGTACATGCCTCATGATTGATAGTCCAAACATTCAAGACTTCAGGATGTAGCACAACAGGTCAACAACCCCACAACAATCAAGACTCAGTACGCTTCAAAAAGCAATATACGTGATTGGAAGTCTTTCCATGAACATAACTCTAGCGGGTTGTTAGAATAAGTACATACATTATGTGACAATGCAACACTAACTACCATACTGCTTTCCCATAACATGATTATACCTCATCTTAACATCCCACAAAATATGACATCATTTCTAAGCATATCAATGGATGACGGCAACAGTAAATATGTAAAACAAAGTCTTATGTGAAATGAAAAGAACGTAAACTAGCATACCGTAAGGAAGTTCCCGGTGTTCTGGCCATCAGCCCTGTGGTAGTTATTGGTTTGGCTGGTAACCCCAGCAGCAATCTGCTTGTTCACATCAGCCTTTGCAGCAGGTGGTTTCTCAGCAGGTGGAGCACTTGCAGCTGGTGCCACTGCCGGTTTGGGGGGCTCATCGCTTCCAAAGAGGTAGCCCAGAGAACTTTGACCACCACCGGCGCTACCACCACGGCTCATCTTGGTTATTGAAAAGAGAAACTATACAAGGATTTAATCAGGTACCAAGCATTATTTCAACACACATTGTACAAAGGAACAAGAGAGACAATGCAAATCGATTTCATTTCAAGGACTAACAGATAAATACTGGAAATATCAAAGTCTGTTTGGATCTGCCAACAACACTTGGTGAGGATGTAGATCCGCCGCAGCCAGGGGCCCCGGGGAGGGGATTACCCTGCGGATCGACGGCGGTGGCTAACAAACGCCAACAGATCCGCGTCTACCGACAGGCAGCGGAGGCTCGGAATCCAGAAATGGGCGCGGATCTCACATCGCGGCTAGATTCAGGCGCTTACGGCGCAAATCAGGGCAGGGAAACGAGACGACGGACCGAGGCTAGAGCGGGCAAAGGTGGGAGGGCCTTACCGAGAGGCAGCGGCGAGGAGATGGATGGCGACCGGCGGCCGGATCGGCAGGGTCGGTGGGACTGCGGCTGCTCCGTCTCTCTCTCGCTTCTGCGCTCAAAGTGGAGAGGCCTGCGGCTGGTTTTGTATACAAGAGGGGACGGTGGGCCCAGGACCCCGGGGATGGATGGGCCCAGCACCTCCAGCCGGCCGTCCGATCTCGCCACTGACGGTGGAGATGGCTCCGGGCGCCCGCGTGAAGGGGGAGGAGACGCTCCTCGATACTCCCTGCCGGCTGCTACGGCCGGAAACGCATAATGGTTTTTTTTTCTTTTTTCGAAATAAAAACACGCATCGGCATAATGGTATTCAATAGTTGCTGCCTCGGTTTGCAAACGTTTAACGTTTGCCACCCATGCCCATCGAAAAAAAAGAACGTTTGCCACCCATGATATTTTCCAGCAAATATCTGACATTGCATAATCTCCATTTATTTCTCAAATATTCATATGAATTTTCTAGAAATATGAAATTTAGCATTCACATGAAGTTGGAAAAACACCCCGTATTCCAAAGAGCTCGAATGACACCGAGGAAGGTTTCCACACAAGCACAGTAGACAGTAGTACAGTACCATCCACAGCCATCAACCTGTCCCTTGTTTTTCATTTCATGCGGATGGCAAAGGGAAATTCACCCTACTGTAAGATGTGATGTGATTGCTTCCAGAACGGTGAAATGCTTTGAACTAAATCACACAGATCAGATCCATGGGAGCTTTAAACACACCACAAATTCACCATCGTTGTAAAAATTACATCAAGGCAAGCGTTTGATACACTTCGTGAATCGTGAGTATATATAATAAACACCAGCGATCATGGGTTCTGTGCGGGAAAAGGGTAGGAGGGGTCAAGTCAAATAACACGCACGAAGCTACAAATCACAACAAAATGCCCTTGTTTCCCCTGCAGTAGCACATACCAACTTCCCATTACAAAGTAAGGATACACACCCAGCTACCCCTTAGCTAGTCGTCCTAGTGTACATGGAAGGGGGTGAAAGTGAAACAACTAAAACGTCCTGGAATACTTCTTGATTTCGAACAGGATGGAGGATATGGACACCAGGTCCTTGTTGAGGGCAGAGCCGCCGTTGATCCTCTTGACACACTCGGTGAGCCTGCGAGCGTCGCCCTCAAGATCTCCATCCCGCACAGGAAGTTGCTGAAAGATGTGATCACATCATAGTGCATCAGCTCGATCGCGGCCTTGTACTGGCTCGCGAAATCCTTTACCAGTGGCTCAACTTCGGCAATGCTGGCCTGTTCGGCTGGTATTAAAGCCGGCTGAAGCTGATTTGTTGTGAGAGAAAAATACGGTAGATTGTAGCTGATAAGCCGGCTGATAAGTTCATCCGCTGATTCAGTTTTCAAGGATGAAATGTCCTTCGAAGGTAAGAAAGAAAAAGGGCATACAGTTGCCAAGAGATCTCAACTCACCTGGACGAGATTTGACGAATTTGATCAAACCACTGAACTGCTCCAGGAGCAACTCTTCCTGCAGAAATATGCATGCATCGTATCAAGAAACTTCGGTAGAGTTTTTTTAGGAAATGCTAGTGTATTATTAATGCGTACAAGAAATTGGACATGACATGAACGTCACAGAAGTCCTTGAATGAACAGAGACAAACTGCAGCTCCCTCTAACGTCATTAGCATTAAACACATGAATTTTTATGTGTTGCCACTAGGTAATAGCAGTCAATGGGCTTATCCTAGTTTACTTTGTACAAATTTGCCATATTTCATTCTGTCACGAAGCCTTGGCAGTCGTATAAGAAGCCAATACCCCAAGTAGATTTATGTATTTATTTGTTTGAACTCTGGAAGTTCCACCAGCAAGCTAAAGAAATGCAGTAAGTAGTATTCTGCCATACGTTCAAGCTATATTCATTTCAAAAAAAAAAAAAAAAGGAAAAAGAAAAGAAAGATGTTCAAGCTATAAAACTGCATACCACATATATTGCGATGTTGCTCTTAAGAACCTCCTCGAAGTGTTGTTGTGCCTTCCCACCCTCAGTTCCAGCTTCCTTTATGTTGATGATAAGGTTAAATTTGAATAAGGCAATTGTAGTATCATTTTATAAATTTCTAACATACTGGGAAGTTACTATAACAGAAAAGGTTGCCATTTAAAATCAGGCCGAGAATTTCTACCTTTAAAATGGAAATTGTTAAATCATAGTTATTTATCAGAAAAATAGTTTGCAACTTCGGTTTAGCAAACATTTTGGCCAACTTAACAAGCAAGTCCTCAATTGCCATCCGCAATCGCTCCAAATTTAAATCAAGCTGCATATAGAAGCCAAAATTTGAAATTTCGATGAGCTACAGAGTGTACTTATGGCATGCGGTGTGGGTGAAAGAAATTCTGCAGACAGTAAACAATTTTGTTTATGTGATCAACTACCCATGTTCAACATTGAGATGAGCTAGAGAAGACGTAAATTCAGCATATCTCCTTGTAACATAGTGCGGATGGACATCATCCTCCCAAAGAGTCTTAATATTTGCATTTCGCAAGCTGTTCAAATGCAAGTCGAACACCATCTTGAAGCGAGGCCAGAATGACATATTAACCTGTCCATTGTCCATAAATTGTGCTCTGTCATTCAAAATAATGGAAATGGAGCAGAAGAAAGACTCACATAAGGAGCTAAGAATGGATTCAGAACTAACCTTGTCTAGGTAAAAGTCCAAACATGGGATTCGCCGCTTAAACATGATGAGCTGCACAAAATACACATTCCATTGAGATTTAGCTAAATATAGACCAGCTGCTTGCACCAGTTTATGCACTAAATGAAAGCAAATAAATTTTCCGATTAAATATAATGTTTAAAAAGAAACACAAAAAAATACAAAAAAAGGGTAGATTTTCAACTACATGGGACTGTAAGACAATCCAATACATACAGTTTAATCTACTGTCTCAAACTAGGTGAAAAATGATAGCTTCCAACCAACCAAACAGAGAAATTGGATGGGTGAATCAATATCTACCACAAAATTGATCACAACTCACAACCACTGTGAACAGAAAACACAATAGTCCCCGGCTTTATTCTTAATAAGACATATAAATGTCGATATCACTAGCTGTTCCATCATAAGGTAAATCAAAGTTCACCTGGTGCTGATAAATTATTCTGATCATAAGCATTATGCCAATTGCATCATAACAGTTCAGGAGTACAGCATTGAAATGTTCATCTACAACTTGAATCGGTCCTGAGGGGGCAAAACAGAAACAGACAACTAAAATTAAAAATCATTTGCAGTCAGCATAACAGAAAATATGCTAATCTTTCTACAGAACTTAAAAAGACCCTAATATGCTCCTTAATGGGGAGAACTATATTATGATGAAAATAAGAAACTCGGCTTAGTGATATGGTAGCTAAAAAAACTCATAGATAATGCAACTAATCAGATCCTATTTTTTCTCCTCACTCATTGGATGTATGCATGAAACTTTGATACGTGTATCACGCATATGAGATTGATACATTAATGCAATTGGTATGTTTGGAAAAATAGTGCATGAAAGCAATATTGGACACGCAAGGTAAGGGCAACATGCTAGTAGTTAAATATAAGTGTACTCTGCACAAGATAGAAATAAAAGTGAAACAAACTTGATGGAAGGAGGATGAAATACCTGCAAATATATCATGGAATATGGATTCTTCGCCAAAGAAATCATCAGTAAACAGGTATCTGCAGTTTGTTTATATATGTCACACTAGCACTTTATCATCATGAATATAATAAAATGTGGACTAGATGGCAACCCAAGGCTTACTCTGAAGTGGCAGTATCAATAAGAAGTTTCTGCAAGCTTCTGAAAAGAACTTCATATGAGTATTTATGTGACTTCGCTTCAGCTATATGAGGTATCAATGCTGGCTGATCGATTTCCTGGTATAATAAAGAAAGCGAAAAACAGAACTTACACTACTATGCTTGGTACTTGGTAGTTTGAGCAAATAAATCCTTCAGCAACAATATACAGTTCAAAAGATTAAAAATAAATAAATGCAAGGCCACATTGCAATAAACCAATAAAAACTGCTTTATCTCAAATCTTTAAACAGTTATATTATTATAATTACTACCGCTTCGTGGGTGTAAGTACAGATACAGGCACGCTGAAACTACAGATACGTAAATAATCAAACAGTTTGGTTTGAGCATAATGGCCTAATGGGCTATGCTCTGATGGCAAATGCTAAACTTCTATTGGCAAGCTTTGTCCACAAATTAAACATCTTATTAACAGGTGGAAAGTTCTAATTAGTTGCCACTACCACAATAACTGAGTTAAGCTCCCACTACCATGATTGAGCCACTTATGAACTTCAAAGCTCTGAACATTATGTCATTATCTGAATGGAAGTGGTAATAAGTTCACCTTTAAAATGTTTATTTGTTCACCCAGAGCAAACACTGAAGGACGGGTTTTCAGAGGTTCTTTTCCAATGGAGAAAATGAAGCCGGTGCTTCTGGTTTCAACACCAAGCAAGTCGGTGGAAGTTGCTATGTCCATCTGTAGTTTCTCCAATGCTTGTATGTAAGCCCGAAAATGTGCACTTAGCACCTGAAAATTGGTAGGAATAGCAAAAAAATCTAAAAAACGTCAAACAACTAAAGTTGGTCATGCACACATGTATAGGTCTTTTATTGTTCACTTTTCTGCTACATGGTAGCAGACTTACAAAGTTTCAAGTGGAAATTAGAACAACGCTGACGTATATGAAGGTTGGTGCCAGAAAACTAAAACAAGTAATTAGCACAGGAGCAGAAAGAAGCAAAGGCAGGCAGGAACAGATGCCAATGCTCCAGGTCCCAAATTGGGTAAAGCGGTATATCCTCAACCCCCAAGTGAAGCAGTCTATTCAAACACATAGCAACCCCCTCTTGCTTTGATCAAGAGAAGTTTATGGTCTAAGTTTGAACCCTTAGGCATTAGCGGTCAGCGGTGAAACCGAAAAGAGAGGGGGCGTTAGGAAAAGGTTTTAGCATTTAAATAAGCCAAACCTGGCAGTTTGTTGATACAATGTTAGCATTTAAATATGTAATTCATACTTGTCAACAAATGCTACCACTTAAGGTTTTTATTCTCCACATAGACAAAGACAACAAGATCTAAACTTTAACAAGCTATCTGTCAAGTTTTTGTTCAGTCCTCCATGAGTAAGACACTACTGATGACAGCCTATGCATGGTTACCGAAAATAGTAGTATGACTTTTCCATAGGAATATGTAGACACACATACTATCACCACGATCTAATGCGCCTTTGATGCAACATCCCATACCACCATTGTCTGTAATGTCCCTACAGATATCTTGAGGTGTTTCTGAGACCTTTGTACATGAGCCTACATGTATGAGTGGTTTCCATAACCATAAGGAATGATGCGGAACTTTCTCCACAAGTTAAAGTTGGTAATTTAGTAGGATTTTATACCACAAACAGATGAAACGACCTACATTTTTACAGAGTTGAAGATTATGTAGTACAGATGAATCTCTACTATTTCTAAACCGAGTGATTCTGTGGTCCGTTTACGGGCCTGGGCTGATTTGCTTTTGTCTGTCTGTTTTGGTCCTGGGCCAATTCTTCATCACCATCCATGTCTCCTCCAAGCAGTCTCAGCCACCGCCTCTCCTCCTTCCCTATGACCGCTACACTGAAAAGATCTGCGCCACTGCCTGCTGCCCTGCAGCCTACCCTTACCTTCTTCATGAATCATGATTATGAGGATGTGCCATCTCAGAAGCAGCAGTGGCATGAATTATAATATTGAAACCATTATTTAGTTCACAGAACTTTGCAGAGACATGGTGAGCGAGACAGGTACTGAAAACAGAAACAATAGTACAAGGCTACAAGCCAAATAGGTGTTTGATAAGAAAAATTGGCATACTTGTATTTAAGAAGAACACTCTGCTGTAGAATTTGAATATTAGTCTTTGGTTTTCTCAAGGCATAGAACTTTTGGATGACAAATTCGAAAATCTGCATGAAAAGTTGGACATGCATCAATAACTCTGTGCTGTAGCCTTATACTATTTAAGAAGAACACAGATAAATAATCAGTGAGGAAAAGGTTCAATCATAGATTCCATTATAACTGCCATGTATTAATGCAAATTAAACGAAATATCAAAAATCATGCTTATTCATGATAGTGTATTAACTAGTATGGCTATTATGGGCTATAATGGCTTATAAGTGACACTCTCCGATAGTAATCCATTTGGTTGCAAGATATTTTGTTGCTCACACTTCACCATGTACGAAACATAGTGAAGATAAAAATTCAAAGAACAGCACAGGAACTCTAATCAGAAAGGTTTGATAACTCATTATCACTCCAGATCATAGCATCTCACTGCAACTAATTGTCCATCATCACTTGCATATAACAATTATAAGTTCCTCATCCTGCAAAGAGATTGCAAGTTGGAACTTGTAGCTATGTGCCACTGGCCCTAGGCTCCAATTGTCAGTGACATGTGTTACCCAATTCATATACTACTGCAGTGCTACTAAGTTTGTTCCCTTTTCAATATGACTTAGATACATATGGCAAGTTTACCATATGATCTGTCAGTTAACAACCATCATGCATCAAGACAGCAAGATGCACTAGCTCTGATAGTCACATCATGCTGACAAAGCATAGACATGGGAAACCACAGAAGGAAAATAAATAAAGTGGGTAGATGATTGGCCAATGCGGAAGGGCGGGCCTGGTGCAAGCGGTAGAGTCTTACCGTCTGTGACCGGACCGGAAGGTCCTGGTTCGAGCCATGTCTCCTCGCATTGCACAGCAAAGGGTAAGGCTTGCCATCGACACCTTCCCTAGACCCCGCATGAGCGGCGGCTTCTCTACACTGGAGTACGCCTTTTTTTAGATGATTGGCCAATGAACTTAAGAACCAACAATTGTTTTTCAGACCTTTGAGACAGCTTTCTGTCAGAGTCTCTCAACCTCAGTGAACATCTTTTAGAGCCTTGGACGATTTAACCATGGGATCAGCATCAATGAATTTGATTTTTTTGCTTAGAGTCTCAAGTGTTTTCATATATTCATCATTGACCTGCATGGTTGTTGAATAGAATATTTTCATAAGTCTATTAGGCTGCATTTGGATGTAGACATTGGGGCTTAGGAATTGGCATTGGCATTGGATAGCACCAAATGCCATTGTTTGGATGGCCTAGACTTTGGAATTGGAAATAAACTTCAATGCCAAGGGTATTTACTACAACCGCGCCCCTCACCCACCGAATACGAGCCGCGACCCTCCGTGATTGGGGGAATCGAGCCGCGACCCTCTTCTTCTCCCTTTCCTCCCTCCGCTCACAAGGCGCATCTGCATGACCTCTCGTGACGGACGCCAATCCCGCCACGACGTTGCACGGACGCGACCTCCCCACCGCACTCGCACTGCTGCCTTTGCTCCTCGTCGGCCCTCGCATCCCTTCCCACGCACTCGACCTCGCCGAGTGGATGCCGCCGAGCACGAAACCACCAATCCGCATGCGGACGTCGCCGAGCGAACCCCCCCCGCCCGAAAGCACGGGAGCTCGCCATGGCCCGACGCCGCCTTCCCCGCCATGGCTCGACACCCATCCGGCGCCCGGGCTTGCTTGCGCCGCTGCCCTGCTACCGACTTGCTTGCGAGCTGGTGAACTCCAACGCACGCGAAGCTCATCCTCGCTGTTTGCCCATGGACGCGACTAACGGAGAGGTCACCGGGCTTCGCTTCAGCCACTGGTGGACCTCGCAGCTGTCGCCCTAAGGTCTCCTAAGTGCCCGCGGTCAAGGTCGCCGCCCCCCGACGCCTCCCTCTCCTTCTTCCCAGTCCAAAGAAAGCCCACGGTCAAGGTCGCCGCCCCAGATGCCTCGCTCTTCTTCTTCCCTGTGTCCGGCAGTGCTCCTACAGGAGTGTCGGGGTGATGCGGTGGAGAGGAGGAGATGGGTCAATTCTATGCACATCCAAACAATAGATTTGGTATTGTGAGTCATTTCCAATACAATGCTGATTTGGTATTGGTACCAATTCAATGCCAACATCTTCAATATCTACATCCAAACACACCCTTAAAGAAAAGCTCATGAACACCGCTCCAACTACAGAAGAAGCTATGCTGGTGGAGCAACATGGTAAATCCGTGTGGCTTGTTTTTTTTCTCTTAACGTAATCCATGTGACTTGTGATATGTCAAATCTGACAAAGAAAGTCTTGTATAGGTAAAGAAAAACAGTGAAAGATTGAGCGAACCAATATATGCAACAGCAAAAATAATGTCACCAAAACAGATACAGTATCATCTAAGATAAGATATGCTTCGCTAGTAAAATGGTAATTTATAGGTTTCTTAGAGAAGCAAAGGGATAAAATAAATGATCCCATCATTTAAATTTAACACACTAACCCAAATAGCAGAAAGTTGCATTATTCTTATTCGTTGCAAATGAATGCTATACTAATTCCAGAAAGGACTTTGATCATAGAATAGAATAAACTAAATCAAATCAACACTGTAAAAATAAAACACAAAAACCAGTAATGTCGAAAGTTGGCATAATTAAAGAGTGTAAGTAATAACCTCTCCATCAACAATTATGTCAATCATTCTTGGAGGTACTATTATATCCATAGTTCCGCTAGGCGCTCGCCTAGGCGCGACTAGGCGCGACTAGGCTCTAGTCGGAGGGTGTCCGCCTCGCCTATGGGGGTAGGCGGACCCCTAGGCGGCGGCGGCTTGTCGTCGGCGGCGGTGGTGGTGGAGGAGCGCCTGGCGGAGGTCGTCGGTGGGGGAGGAGGAGCTGCGAGCGGCGGCGGGCGCTCGCGCGGGCTTGCGCGGGCGGAGGAGCTCGGGCGGGCGCAGGCGCGGGCGACGGCGGTGTGGGAGGAGGCGTGGATAAGGTGCGCTGGGCCGTTTTTAACGGTGGATAAGGTGGGTTGGGCCGTTTTTATGGGCCTTTCTTCTCTTTTCTCCCTGTTCCATGACCATTGGTCTTCTATTTTTTCTTTTCTTTTAAGTACTTAAGTATGTATTAATAAATTTAAGCATGTATTGGAAAACGCCTAGGAAAACGCCTAGGAACGCCTAGGCGCGATTAATCCCGCCTAGGCGCTAGGCTGAGGGTCAGCGCCTAGATTCCGCCCAGCGCCTAGCTGAACTTTGATTATATCCTCAACAAATTTTGACAGTTTAGACTCTGCAGCCTGCAATTTGTTTTCCAAAAGAGAAGAGCCAACATAAGGATCATAAAGATAGCTGAACATGAAGAAAAGAAAAATATTATGCATAAAAGCTATGAATATTGGGACCATTTCGAAAATGAACTATTTATGAGTTCTGATGGACCAGAGGATAGTGCCTCCACTTGAAATATTATGGAACTATTGCTTCATATGATTTTAAGACATCTCATTTCTAAATTATAATAAATGTGAGCCAGAAAGCAAAATTGTGTTATATGTGATAGTAGCACTTATACTTAGTCATTGGTAAACATAACACCTAATAAGAAACATCATCTAATCTAATATTTTCCTAACCATGTCACTTTCGTAGTTGCGTGCACAGACTAGAACACCAGCTAAAGGGATAAGAAAGGTAAACCATAAAACATGGGAGATGGACAACATCATGTCCAGCATAAAGCAGCCTTAACAAAGGAACTAATGGCAAATGAAACCAAAGAATGAAATATACAATATATGCAGTGAACCAGACCTTACGATTTTTCAGCTTTAATCCCATGTCCATAGATTTCTCCTGAAGGACCTTTATCTCCGAACTTATGGAACCAATTTCTGTCTACCACAGAAGTCAAAACATTGAAATGACTTAGTAAAGAAAAGAGGGCCAGCATTTTTTATCTAAAGGTGCATACATACAGAGAACTCCGCCTATGTTGTCTCAACATAGCAGGTCCCAAGCCCTGGTAAAAGACGAGAGTTGTGATAGGCGTGACGAGCCAACGTTAAATCTAGCCATTCTAATGGAGATGAAACCCGAAAGAAAACCGTTAGGGCGTAACCCTCTTAGCGACGCGCCATATCAGAACCCGGATATGGTGTTAAATGGGCAAGGGCCGGGTCGGCACCCCCTTGGTGACGCGTCGTGTCGCGATCTGGGCATGGTGTCAAGTGAGCAAGGATCGGGTCGTCGCTTCCTTAGTGGCGCGCTACATCGGCGCCCGGGTGTAGTGAAAAATGAGCAAGAGTCTTCACATCTGAGTCGACAGGTGCGAAGGGGAAGGAAGCTAGTCGAACCAACTAGGATTCGTTTAGGTAGTTGGAATGTAGGATCGCTTACAGGCAAGTTAATAGAATTAGTTGATACCGCGACTAGGAGGCGTGTAAATATATTATGCGTTCAAGAGACTAAATGGAAAGGTCAGAAGGCGAAGGAGGTGGACAATACAGGTTTCAAGCTTTGGTACACAGGGACAGTCGCAAATAGAAATGGAGGAGTTTTGATTGATAAGAGCCTCAAGAATGGTGTGGTGTGAGCGAGAAGGCAAGGAGATAGGATTATCTTAGTCAAGCTTGTCGTTGGTGATATGGTCTTGAATGTAATTAGTGCGTATGCCCCCCAAGTAGGCCTCGACGAGAGTGCTAAGAGACAGTTCTGTGAACACTTAGATGGCCTGATTAGAGCTGTACCTAGTAGTGAGAAGCTTTTTATAGGAGGAGATCTTAATGGGTACGTAGGTACTACAAGCGCAGGTTTCGAGGCAGTTCATGGAGATTTTGAGTATGGTAGTAGGAATCAGGAGGGGGAGGAAGTTTTGAACTTTGCGGTAGCTTTTGACCTGATGATAGCCAGCACTTTCTTCAGAAAGAGAGAATCTCATCTAGTGACCTTCAGTAGCGGACAACATTCTAGCCAGATTGACTTTGTCCTCGCAAGAAGAAAGGACAAATGAGCATACTTGGGTTGCAAGATGATACCAGGGGAGTGTGTTGTTTCTCAACATAAGCTTTTGGTGGCAGACTTTCGTTTTCAGGTGCGTGCCCGTAGGGATAAACAAGCTAAGATTGAAAGAACAAAGTGGTGGAAACTGAAAGGGAAGACGACAGAGGTATTCAGGGAAAGGGTTATCAAATAGGGCTCTTGGAAGGAAGAAGAGGACATAAACAACATGTGGGAGAAGATGGCAACCAACATTTGAAAGATGGCCTCAGAGGTGTGTGGAGTAACCAATGGAAGTGGAGACGAGGCTAAAGATACTTGGTGGTGGAACGAGGAAGTCCAAAGGGCTATTATGGAGAAGAAAAAATGCTATAGACGCTTGTACCATGACAGGAGTGTGGACAACATAGAGAAGTACAAGGTGGCAAAGAAGACTGCAAAGCGAGCTGTAAGTGTGGCAAAGGGTAGAGCGCACGGGGACCTTTACCAACATTTGAGTACGAAGAAAGGAAAGAAGGGCATTTATAGGATGGCTAGGGTTCGTGAGAGAAAGACAAGGGACTTTAACCAAGTTAAGTGCATTAAGGATGAAAGGGAGCATCTCTTGGTAAAGGATGATGAGATCCGACATCTATGGCAAGAGTATTTTGACAAATTGTTCAACAGTGAGAATACGGACACAACTTTTCAGTTGGATGACTCTTTTGATGACACCAATAGGCGCTTTGTGCGGAGAATCCAAGAATCTGATGTCAGAGAGGCGTTGAAAAGGATGAAAGGAGGTAAGGCGATGGGACCAGATGGTATCCCAATCGAGGTGTGGAGATGCCTCGGGAACATAGCTATAGTATGGCTAACCAAGCTGTTCAACCATATTTTTCGATCGAACAAGATGCTTGACGAGTGGAGGAGAAGTATATTGGTACCGATCTACAAGAATAAAGGGAATATTCAAAGTTGTACTAATTACTGGGAAATTAAGTTGATCAGCCATACTATAAAGCTATGGGAGAGAGTTATCGAGCATCGCTTGAGAGCAATAACGCGGGTCTCTATGAACCAATTTGGTTTCATGCCCGGAAGGTCAACCATGGAAGCAATTTTCTTAATAAGACAAGTTATGGAGCGGTATAGGGAGAAGAAGAAGGACCTACACATGGTTTTTATTGACTTGGAGAAGGCTTATGATAAAATACCAAGGAATGTTATGCGGTGGGCTTTAGACAAACATAAAGTTCCAACGAAGTACGTCAGGCTCATTAAGGACATGTAGAACAATGTTGTGACCAGTGTTCGAACAAATGATGGAGACACGGATGACTTCCCGATTAGAATAGGACTACATCAAGGGTCAGCTTTGAGCCCTTATCTGTTTGCCTTAGTGATAGAGTCACAAGGGACATACAAGGGGATATCCCTTGGTGTATGCTTTTCGCGGACGATGTAGTGCTAGTTGATGAAAGTCGAACAGGAGTGAATCAGAAACTGGAGTTATGGCGGGAGACTTTGAAGTCCAAAAGGTTTAGACTCAGTAGAACTAAAACTGAGTATATGAGATGTGACTTCGGCACTACTACTCGGGAGGAGGAAGATATTAGTTTGGAAGGTCAAGTAGTGCCTAGGAATGATACATTTCGATATTTAGGATCAATGCTACAGAGAGACGGGGATATTGATGAATATGTTAGCCATAGAATCAAAGCAGGGTGAATGAAGTAGCGCCAAGCATCTGGTGTCCTACGTGACAAAAGGGTACCACAGAAGCTAAAAGGCAAGTTTTATAGGACGACGATTAGACCTGCTATGTTGTATGGGGAATGTTGGCCTACGAAAGGACGACACGTTCAACAGATAAGTGTCGCGGAAATGCGCATGTTGCGTTGGATTTGCGGTCATACGAGAAGGGATCGAGTTTGGAACGATGTTATACGTGATAGATTAGGAGTAGCACCAATTGAAGAAAAGCTTGTCCAACACCGATTGAGATGGTTTGGACATGTCCAACAGAGACCTCCAGAGACACCAGTGTGTAGTGGAATCCTAAGCCAGGATAGTAACGTGAAGAGAAGCAGAGGAAGACCGAAGTTGACTTGGGTAGAGGCAATAAAAGGAGACTTGAAAGGATGGAATATACCCAAAGACTTAGCCTTAGATAGGAGTGATTGGATAACAGCTATTCACGTGCCTGAACCTTGATTGCTTCTGCTGGGTTTCACTCTAGCCTACCCCAACTTGTTTGGGACTTAAAGACTTTGTTGTTGTTGTTGTTGTTGTTGTGGTGGTGGTGGTGCATACATACAGAGAACCAGTAAAGCCTGAATAGTCTGGCATTAAAAAGGGTATTTTCCATTACATTTAAAACAAATTATAAGTCTCGAACCATTAATAATCTAGAAAAGGTGTCATCCAGAGTACATCACTGAATCCGTTAAATGGATCACATAAATTGAAATTACAATCCTCACATAGCTCATGGAATGCAGAAGATAAAATGCAGAACGTGTTGTTCATAGCTCCATCTCTATTATAGTTACTACATGACATGTTCAATGTAACAATCTAAGTTCAGAAACAATTAATTGAACTGCTAACAACAAAAAAAATGCATAGCCCAAATTTGACATAGGTTGTGCACAGCTACTCTCTTGGCTATCCAGCATGTACGGGAATGTCTCATGTAGTATTAACACAGAAAAAAGGGATATGTAATTACCTGGAATCCAGTCAGAACCGTTTCCATTTGTGACAAAATATTGTCACAATCGTGAATTTGATCATGCAGAGAAACTAGATTTTCACTTTCCTTGATGTAATCCTACAAACAAAAGGAAGACAGAACTTCTTAATTCCAAGACAGTAACCACTAGTGATTTCTTTTTCAGCAGCGCTATGAAATCTCAGCAGTCCCAAGTCCATTGTCTACAACATAACTTCACTACTCTTGAACAACTGTTTGATGATTCAGCATAAAATATTGATTAAGAGAATGATCATATCAATTCAACATAAAGTTATTCAACAAATCAGGTTGAGATTCTATCAACATTTTAATTGCCCAAAGCATAATTGGCATTAACTACTTAACAAAAAAGAGATAAGTGATAACAATGCCTAAAACAATCACCTGTATAGAATCCAGCTCGATTTGGCGTATGTTATTCTCGACGCCTTTTGTGTATTCACGCAGTTTAATGCCATTGGCCAGAATGTTTGCGACTTCCTGCGTATGTTTAGAATGAAAACAACAGTGATCATCAAGAAAGAGGCAAGGGAACATGTTTCATACAGTGTGCTGGTACCCAAACATTGCGATTGCGGCAAGCTCAAAATGGCAGCAATGCAATCCACTTACTTCAAGGTAAGGAGTAAGCTGACTATCTAGTACTACACAGATATCATATATTGTAAGCTGGAGTAAAACACGACACCTGATCATTCTTGCAGTTGTCAAGCTCCTGCTGCAGCCCCTCCAGGGACTCGTCGTCACTGGCAACGATGAAGCAGCGCACACTTTAGAATTGCAGTGGTAGAACGATAGGTACAGCAGACAGCACACGACGCAATCCGAGACAGAAGAGCTGGCGATCGTAGTACCTGGTGACTTCCTCGTCGAGGACGAGGTCGCCTACGAAGACCCCGAGATCAAACCTGTCCTTGTGCCCGTCGAGGGTCTCCGCAGCAGGGACGGCCGCCATCTCGGGGCGGAGATCGCCGGGGCGGACGGCGGACGGCGTCGGCCGGCTGGCTGGCTGACTAGCTCCGATCTAGATCTGCCACCGGTAGCGGGGACGAGGGCTGGGATCGGATCGGACGGGTCCCCGGGAAATGGAGGAGACCCGGACGACCTGTCGTCGGGTGGGTGGGAATTGGAACTTGGAAGGATGTGTTGGGTTGCACTTGGGCCTGTGGTCTGTGCCCGTATCTAACTGCAGACCACGCGGCCAGTTAATTCTTCCGGCCCATATAACCGTATGCTTAGTTAACATATTTGGCCATTTCAGCCCAAGTTCTTTTTTTTTCTTTTTGGTCTTGATGACTGAATTTAATTTTCTCTTTTTTCTTTCTTGTTTATGCCTCATTTTAGTTTGTTTATTATTGAATTTTAGTTACTTTTTGCAAAATATAGTATAGGCACAGTTCTCACATACATGTACACAAGCTCATTTTTATGAACGCACGCACACATCCTGACTCTATGAGTACTTTTGAAAAGGCTAATACGATAGGTCTCAAAGTTGACGAAGTTACCATAGGAACCTCATGATAGATGGGCATGTCGCCTAGCATTGTCAATTTTCTGGTGTTGATGTTTTTCCTAGCGGCTATGATTATACGACGCGTATGTAGTAGATTTGATTGTAGTACACGAGAACCACAAAGTTTAATATACGAGATAACATATGGAACGTTTTTAATCGAAAACATGTTTATTTCTTTCCGTAGTTGGTTTCTTTCTCTCTTTTTTTGTTAGCTTATATATTATAAAAAAAAACATATAACATTGCATGTGAACTAATGCAACACCAAATTTTAACATCATAGACTAGTGGAACATTCAAAACATTTTAACAAAATATCATATGAAAAATACTATATGAGTAATAAATAGGTGGACTAAGCGTAGCTTAGTTAGTTAAGCTGCCTACCCGGCATCCATCGATGGATAATTCCAAAGTACAGATGCTAAGAAGCTTCAAATTCGTCGTTACTTTGAGAATAGTTTTAACAACTGTCACAACGAGATTCACTTTGAGATATACAGATTTGAAGTTTTCAGCAATAATGTAACCAACACTGGTGTCAGCTACTCAACTCGCTCATGACATGGGCGTGGAGACCACGCAACTTGGACACTAACGAATAGCTTGAGCACCTCAAGGCTCCAGTGCTTAGCTAAAAAAAAATACGATGGTGCCTAACTGCTGCCTGCTTTTCTTCTATATGATTTAACAAATACATTTTTTTTATGAGTGAACGACAAAGTACGCTTTCGTTGATCAACGGAACAAATAATGGCATAATGTTGTTACCAATTCTGCATTTGTGTACTCGCTCAGTCACTAAATAACTGCATCTCTCTCATTCTGAGGAGTCAAACAAACTTAGGTAGTTAGGTTTGACCAAATCTATATGAAAAAATACTAAGATATTCAATATCAACATCAAATAATCATCATTAGGTTAATCTCATCATATATTTTATACTAATCTTATTTAGAGATACAAATGTTAGTAATATTTTTTAGTCTAATCAAACTTGATATATGTTAAAAAACAACATCCAGGACCATACCACCCCCACAAAAGCACATGGTAGATAGAACTCCTAGATAGATGAGTGCAAAGAAGACCATGAGACGAGTCGTCGATCAAACCAAAGTGTCCTGAGCATACCACGAGCAGTACAGCTAGCGGTCCATACGCAGTGTAACTACCTAGTAACAATGATGCCCCCGGATCTGCTAACACCCACCGGTACGGTCCCCGGCCCAAACACATAATTAGTAGTAATCCATCTTTTCCCCGAGCAATTCATGACTCGTGATTCACAGGACAGTGATCGATATTGCAATAATAACCCCCTCTCATCAAAAGAAAAACACCTACAACACAACATACTAGTACTGCAATAATGCGGAGAGGCAGGAGCAGGTCTCGATCTCTGGTTCTGGTCGACGTCCACCTGGGCAGCCTACATGAGGAATCTGCCAGTCAGTCCATGTACCGACAGTACCATGGAGTTATGGAGCTGATAGGAATTCTTGGCATGCAGTGAACTCATTGGCCCTTATTTGGATGCGGCGTGTATTCATCTCAATCCACATGTGCGTCAAGTTGATTGGATTGGAGATGATACACATATATCAACCGAGGCCTTAGTTACTGTACATCGTTCTCTTCTCATAGGAGTACGCCGATGGATCGACAAGCATGGCAAATGTGCAGAGGTCACTCACAGAAACACGACAGCACAGCCTACGCAGCCACTCTGCAAGTTCAATATACACCGTAGGGTGGGTTGTGCACTCCACCGATCAAACCACTGCTCCTTTGCCTCCTCCTTGCTACTGCAAGGTAGCCACGGGAAAATCATGTATGTGTTGCTGCCTGCCTGCCTGCCACAATGCCACGTGATGAACCTGAACCAGCGCATGCCATGACTGACCTCAGTCACAGTAAGCCAGAATCGTGCCCACCATCATATTCTTTCAGCGTTTGTTTGATCCACACACGTAGGACTAGGAGCAATAAACTGCTCAGACGTCAGACAATGCAAATCCGGCGCTGCACATGCTCCTCCGGCACACCGCCCGACTGGCCGACTCCGAGAGCAAGAAGAGGAATCAGGAATGGATCAGAATTGGCCACCGAGAGATGGAGGAAGGCGAAACTGATCCAGCACGCGCCCGACGTGGACACCCAGCAGACTAGCAGAGCTCGATCGCCATGTGCCAGCCGGCTGCTGCGCCTTATCTCTGCCCGGCCTTCGACAGTGGTGGCGGTGAAAACCTGGGATGGGAAGCAAAGCAAGCACCGTGCTCAACATTCCCTGCCCTTGTTCCGGTCCACGCTAGCTCAGCAAGACCTGAAGCTGAACCCAGTCTCGGTGGATGAGGCTGACGATGATGGCGATGCATGCCTGACAGCCACCACATGCCCGTCGCCCACAATCATCAGCCCAGCCCACATGGCCTGTTCACAGGGAGTCCAGGAGTATCGCATTGCATGCATCCTGCTGGTGCTGGTGCTGGTGCAGGGCCAGCCACGCCCGGCCCCGGCGCCCCCCTCCCCCGCCCGGCCGCCCTTCATAAATCCACGGCCGGCACCTGCCTCTTCTCTCTCATCACATAGCTGAGCTGCCCACGAGCAACCGAATCCACCCACAGACCATTGCATGCATACTCCGTACACTCTGCTCTGCACGCCCTTTCTCTTCTGCCTGCCAAGTTCCTCCTGGCCTGAGGATAGGATATAAGTACATCCTAGATAGCCCGTCAATGGCGCCAAGTCCGATCGAGGTGATCAGTCCATACCTCGGCTTCAAAAGGAGCTAGCTTCCTTAGCTTTCCAGAGCACAAGAACTAGCCAAAAATGCCGACTAGAATGGCAAAGGCCTTCTTCTCCCAGGAGGCGACGGAATTTGGCGGCCAGATGGGGTGCATGGCCACCATGTTCCAAATCTTCGACCACCGCCGCCTTCTCACCGGGCGACGACATGGTGACTGCCCTGGAACCATGGATGAACTGCCTCCAGCAGCAGCAGGTACTTCGGCTCTGCTACTTTTTCATTACTACTTTGCCATCTGTCCCCCCCGACTGAAGAACCCATCCATCCTTGCATACAAAAAAACAAAGTTCAAGAAGCCATCAGTCGACCAACTGAACTGTACCATTATAATAGTGCTGGAAGTATAAGCTGTAGGGTGCCAAACAAAAGTAGTTTAAAAATTTATTTCATGTTGAACATAGTACAAGGCAAAAACAACGACTCTTTATTGGGAAGTACATGAACAAGAACAATGATCACCCATGGTATAGTACAAGCTGCAGGCGTGCAACTTCACTTCACACATATAAGATAGCAAAAGCCAAGACCCGAGAGTGTCATGAAAAACTACATGGTAATAAAAAAGTTCATGCAAAGGAAATTGATTGTACGATCATTTTGTATTTCATTTCAGGCATTTCCGTTTTTCTCCATCAATTCATTTTTTCCTGATTACCTGCATCACCCTGCTTTAAGCATAATATAAACTATACTTCTCGGATATTAGTTCTAATACACTGTGTTTCTGTTGTCCAGGCCATACTCTGCCAGTTAGCAGCACGCAAGCCCCGGTGCAAAGCACAGCTAATCCAAACATCACTGTGGTAATTTTAATCAGTTCTTTTAACGGCAAAGAATTCAGATATAAATATAACTAAAGCCCTGGTTGGTCAGCCCTGGCTCTAGATTTTGGGTTCCTTGAACAAACTAATTTTAACTCGATTTGAATTAATTGCGCAGGAGAAATCATTCAGCAAAAACAAAAGCGTGACTGAGAACAGTACCCTCTCAACGGAATCATCGAGAGCATCTTCAGCTTCGTCGTCCTGCTCTTCATTATCATCCCTGAACAGCGGCAAACCAGCACAGCAGAAGCTCCCTTGCATCAACGAGAAGCCTGTGGTAGGAAGGAGTAGGACAATGAGGAGCTCACGAAGCTTCAAGTCTTCAGATACAGAGGTCAAATCCAAACAGCCAAAAACTGAATTTAGAGATGTCGTGAAGAACTCCATCAACCAGGACTCTCGTGTCCTGGCCATCAAGACCAAAATGATGGAACAGAGAGATAGACTGCACAAAGAGTCACCAAGGCCACTGCTTATATCCAAATCAACGACAGATGGAACTTATGTGATTGCTATTGATAGGAGCAATGTGCCTCCTGCATATGTCAATGAATCTAGCAGGCGGCCACGCTTATCATGTGATGATCGACAGCTGCTGCTGCAGGCAGAAGCTCAAGACAGCAAGATGCCTTCATCCAAGCTCAGGGATCTTCCTAGGTTGTCCTTGGACAGTAGGGTTGAGTCTGTCAAGTCAAGTTTGCATCTGAAGAACTTTGGTTATGCAAGAACCAATGACAGTCTCATTGATAATTTGAAATACCAAGAATCCCCGAGCCATCAGCGGGCCAGTGGTGTCATTGCAAAGCTCATGGGATTGGAAGAGACTCTTGATGCCCCTGGGTCTGCAAGATCACACAGACCAGACCATCACACTCAAAATGGTCACCTGTCACACACCTCCAGGAGTATCTGCCATGACCTCAGTCCATTGCAGCGAAAGATTCAGCCTACGATACTGAAAGCCAAACCTTCTCCGAGAATTGTCCCTGAAGCTGCACCTTGGAAGCAGCAGAAGACAAGTACAACTAGATATTATGCTAAAGAAGGGTCAAGTTCTACATCCATAAACGATAACGTAGAGAGAAGGCTCAGCAATCTCACATCGCCGGAATGTAATAAGGATTTGAGGGTTATTAGGATACTCGGAGAATTACACGCAAAACGGAGTGATCACAGTGCCAGATCACTGACCACTCAGAAGGCAGCCGCTGGACAAACCAATAGTGCTCAAGACTTCCAGTCTCCAGTTGTGATCATGAAGCCGGCAAGAGGTATCATGAGACAGAATGCTTCAGTTGCTACCCTTGCAGGGACAAAAGTCCACAGAAAGTTGCGGCATGAAGAGCGCCCTTTCACCACGAAGACTGAGAACAGTGACAGGACGAAGACCCATTCTCACAATCAAAGAGCTTGTTCCAGGCGAGAGGAAGATGTGGGCAGCACAAGTTCACCAAAGCCTCCTAGAATTTTGAGCCCAAAACTTGTGCAGAAGTCAGACTGTGGAAGGATCACTCAGCTGACAGTTCCACTGATGTCCCCAACCAAGACATCCAAAGAAGTATCTCCAAGAGGCAAACTAAGATCAAGGGCTTCACAATCAAATAGCATCTGTGGCCATGATAAGGCCATGATTCCTGAAAGCAAAATCAGTTTATCAAAGCAGGTTGATATGAGCATTATTAATTATTCAAATACTCTTAATGTCAACACATCATCCATCCATCAAAGCAATACAACTTCAACATCGAATTATGAGGTACAAATAAAGATTAATATATTTCCATGGCAAAGAACCTACTATTGATTGTAATTGTTTCATCATTTATTATGTACATCAGTTAGTGACTACTGAAAGACTTTTTTTTTCCAGGAAACACGTATCCTATGTACTGACACGAACACCCATCCACTGGAGAACATACGAAGTCCTGTATCAGTCCTTGATGCCACATTCTATCAAGATGTGATGTCGCCTTCTCTGAGGAGCATATCAAATTCTTTCAAAAGTGAGAACTTTATTTGTCAAACCATTCTTCACACAACTCTGAGCATTATACTTGGGTTTCAATCAATCTAGGAAACCATATTGTTTGGCACATGACAAGCATACTTAACTGTAGCATATCAGACATTCATAACAAGCAACTGGTAATCAATGCAACCAAATGTAGCTCGTTGTCTAGCAAACTGGGAAGAACCACAGTAAATTGGCAGCGACAGTAGAAATGCAAGTGCTTGCTTGTGCCAACCAGTTAAAGAGCATCAATTCTTCACTGCCAGTAGTAGTTCATGTCTGCACCTAACATCTTCATCATGGAGCCCCCACATGTTACAATTGCCCATACAGGGACATGATATATGTTTGGATTGCACGTATACTTATGTAGATGAGCCTAAAAGAATAACTGATTTTCTAGCTGGATTGGTTGCTTTTAGGTTGTTCTCGGAGCCCCCACATGCTTGCTGGATTGGTCGATCTAGCCCTTAATGCTCAACTAACTTTTTTTTCTTTACTTGTTCAGATGTTGCGGCACTTACATTGCATGAGTGCTGGAACTCAATAAGCCTCCCTGACACACCAACATTGAAGAAAAGTAGCGAGAGTAACCACACAATACCAGAAAACATGAAAGCCCTCATCCAAAAGCTTGAGCTCTTGCAATTGTTGAGTGATGAGGCTCCAAGAACAAATGACAATTCGTTAATACTCACTGCCAATAAAGACCGTCATTATATTTATGAAATACTCTCAGCATCGGGTCTCTTGCACAACGAACTGAACTCCAGGATCATGCCCTGCTTGTTCCAGCAGCCATGCTACCCAATCAATCCAGGGCTTTTTCTTATCCTTGAACAAGCAAAATCAACTGCAGGAAAGCTTCACCGCAAACTAATTTTCGATCTTGCAAACGAACTCATTGCTAAGAAAATATACAGTGTCAGTTCAGTGAGACAACCATTGCAATTCATTCAATGCAAGAAATCAAGCGGATGGCATCTTTTCAAGGAATTATGCTCAGAGATTGAAATTCTCCGGTCTGAGGCCTCAACAATAAGATTATCTGAAGAGGAAGATGAAGACAGCAAGCTAGCAAAGAATGCAGTACGTGAAATGGGAAAATGGAAGAGTTTCGGTAGTGAGCTACAAGGGATGGTTCTGGACATTGAAAGATCCATCTTTAAGAATCTCATTGACGAAGTCATAAGTGGTGAAGACATGGGAAAGGTGTAATTTTGGCAGTGGAAGTACAAAGGGGAGTTGTCTTTGAGAAGCATATAGACTAAACAATTTTGTTGTTTTCCTGTTTTCCATGAAACTGACCTGATGGTAGAAGTAATGTATGTTTAGCAGCTGCAAAGAATAACTAGGTTGTACAAACATATATAAAGTTTCATGTACAAAGAATTAATCACATTAGAATATTGATAGAAGACACAAATATTACCGAAGAATACAATTGTCCCCTTGGATATGTGAAGTCCAAATTCTTGCACCTATGATCAACTAAACCATCTGCCCAATTATTTAACCACCTGTGTGAGATAAGGTGATAGTTAGAAGCACCAGGCATCAGCATTGTTAGAAGCATCTTACATTCTTACGAGTTAGAAGTAACACAGGATTTCTGTGACAGATTGCAAATAAAACTCAGAGTGGGCTGGACCAAATGGTCCATTTTGGTATCAACTATCAAGATGGTAAATCAGCGGAATTGTACCAAAATCTCGTATTGGCTCTACATCAAATCTGGTTGGCACATTTGAACTTTGTTCTTAATAAAACATGGCTGGACTTTGTCAGTCTTTGGCTACAACCCAAATACACTTGCAAACTAATTGACACAAAAACTCTGTTTTTTTTTATCTATGTTCGAAGCCTGCTTAACTGGGTATCTCTAGAGATAATTTGTCAAGTCGTCAGGACGAGGCAATATTCATCAAGCATTTGGAAGAAGGAAATGCTCTATATTTGAATGCCTTGCGTATTTTGGACATAAGGTAGTAAGAGCATGTGATTCCTAAGTTTGGAGATATCAAAACCTGAGCCCGATTCTTCATCCCTAAACAAATTACTTACATATCAGCAAAGACAGCACAATAGATTTTCTTGTCGCATCTCGTTTCCCCCAAAAAAAATATTGAATCCCTTGTTGCAAGGGATATGGCATCCCCCAACCTAGAAGCGCACCAGATGAGACCAGGGAGAAGAAAATCCTAGTGGATTCAAGATAAACAGAGGTGGAATTTTTGCGAGGACCTGCGTGGAGGAATTACGAGTAGCCCTAGAACCAGGACCATAGCTTCCGTCGCTGTGGCGCTGGGCTCCGGCCTCCGGGCTAGCGGTCGGCGGCCTCCGGGTCCGGGCTAACTAGCTCGTCCGCAGCGGGGATTCTGGGCCAGCAACGCCCGTCCAGCACTGTGACCAATGGCGTGTTTTTGTTCTGGAGGATTTTGATTGACCATGGTTGTCGTTTCGCTCGCAGGGGCCAGGGCTCACCAAAAGCCAAGTCTATGGTGAAAGGCGAGAGACTTTGGCCTCCTTTACCGTTGTTCAGAACGCATGAATTCCACGTAAATCGTGCAGGAATTCCACATAAATTAGTTTAACTAGTAAAAGTGTTGGTACGTCGTAATGGAAAAAGAAAGTGATATATAACTATTTATGTTTTTCCTTTTTATAAAATTTGAGAACTACAATTTATTTTGTGACTGGCATCCAAAATATAAGCAAATGTTTCTTTTTTGCGCTCAATATAAGCAAATGTTGGCAATCATAAGAAATGTATAATTAAGCTTGTATCAAATTAATACAATAGGTTTCTTCTCGTGTTGCTAAAACAAAAATATTTGCTCGTAGATATATCTTAAGTATATTTTTTTTATAATATCCATACAGATACAGTTAAATATCAAGTTTCATGATTTTTTTTAAGACACGTAAAAATCCCTAACTCAAAGTCAGCGTGGAGTTAGTTATTCACATATCAAGGGCTAGCTCATGATTACGACAGAAGGCCTCTCTCGATTTTCCACATCGTTCCATTATCGAGGATTACACTGATGCATACATACAAGATGCATATTTATTTATATATCGGACTGGATAACAAACTACTCCCTCCGTCCATCGGTGTCCGTCATCTTAGCCCTATGCCCAGAGACCAAGGAGAAGCGGAGGCCCGCGGGCTTTTCATTAAATCGCCGTAACCGGAGTAATTACCGTGCGTCGCTTTGTTTCCCCGATGAATCTCCAACTAACGCCGCTAGAATCTCCGTTTCCCGCTGCGTGATCGCGCACTCGCACAGAAGCCTGGCGCCGGCGCTCGTAATCGCGCGCTCCCTTCTCTCCCGGTCTCTTTCCCGCGCCTAATTTCTACAAGTCCTACAGATGTCTGTCAACGAAAATTTGGCAGCCAAATTTCAAAACTCAGCCACCTATGCATCAAACTTCAATTGGCGACACTCTTCAATTTCGTTTTCAATTTTCCATGGCCTATATAAGTCGCCAAGCAGGATGGAAACGTCCAGGCAAGTCCAGTGATCTCTCCACCTCACCTACTCTTCTTTCTCCACCTCCGATTAGATGCCTGGGTTAGAAATTGATTTGAATGATGAGCCACCTGAATCTGGCGACTTGTTTCCCATAGATTGGGATGACATCGTTGAGTATGATGGGTCAGCAAACCAACTTGATTATGATATGGCTTGGGACGATGGCAGCCAAGGTGCAAAACTGTCAAGATCTTTGTTTTGCCTTCTGTTGTTTCTGTCTATGAGCTTATTCTTTCTTTTTCTGTGTTGCAGCATTTGGCAAGCAAGGAGATGAAGTTGATGCTGCAATAGGAGTGCAAGGGGATGGAGCCGATGGTCTGCAAGGAGATGGAGGTGATGCTACAGGTTAGTGTGTTGTCTGATAGCTACAGTATTTTTTCAGCTATCTGTTTTCCATTCTTGATTATGACATGGTTTGGGATGATGGGATTCAAGTTTTAAATCTATCAAAGATCTTTGTTTTGGCTTCTTTGGCTACTGTCTGTGAACTTATTCTCTGTTTGTTGTCTCTGTTCTTTTACTTCTGTCCAGAACATGTAGAAGATGATGCTGCAGCATTTGACGAGCAAGGAGAGCAAGGTGATGCTGCAACAGAAGGAGTGCAATTACCTGAAGCCGATGGTCTGCAAGGTGCATCAACAAATACAGGTGGTGCTTCAGGTATAATTTTTCGGACAACCAATAGTACCTGCACTTTGTATCCAGGTTTCAGAGTACTCTAGTTAGGCTGTTGTCGGACAGGCAATAGTGTCCAATTCAGTTGTTTGTTTTTCAGCTTTCTAGTTAGGAAACGGGAGGGCGGCGGCGTAACGTCCCGCATCCCACCCGAGGCGTCGCGCGCACGGGAGACGGAGCAGTCGTATGTACGACCAACTCATACGAAGGAGACTCTTGGAAAAAAAATTGGTTAGACACCGGAGACAGATGGACGGAGGGAGTACTACTCAAAATTTAGTTTCATAGTTTGATTAGTTGGACTATCGATTGAATTAGAATATTATAATAATACGAGTTTTGCTTGTAATCAAAATTACATTAATAGTTTGTCGGTAGAAATATTTATTTCTAAGTGAACGGTTAGGAGTTCAAAGCCTATATATCATGTTGTTATTATTCTTTATGTTGTCTATTTTCACATTGAACATGAAAAATAAAATTAATAGAATGGAAACACATTTAGTTGAATGTGAAAAATAAAGAAAACGGGATGGAGAAAGAAAACTAACTGAACCTAACCGGAACCGGAGAAAAAGAAAGAAAGAAAATGAAAAAAAAGACATGAAAAGACATCCGAACAGGAAGGGAAATTGGGGAAAAAAAAGTGTGACAACAAGGACTCGGCTCTTTTTCCAGACACACAGGCTATCTAGATTGCCTGTCCTGCATGTATCACATAAAGCAGGAGGGTTGTGCTTGTATATAGTCAACGCAGATAGTTTCATATAGTTAATTAGCGAGAGCCGGACGAAAAAATAGGTGCAGAGAAATTTTGCCTCTTTAATATTATGTATAGATATAGATTTCAAAGAAAATATAGGAACCTAATTTTTTCGCACTCTAAGAGTTTGTTTGGATCCTCTCTTATTTTAAAGCTCTAGAAACTTTAGAGCACTTTAGCTCATTTTGAAATATAAAGTTCTAATGTGAGGTGGGCTAAAGTTTAGAGCTAACTTTAGATGAGACTTTAGCTCTAAAATTTAGAGGAGTAGATCCAAACAGTCCTAAATAGACTCTTAGTTTTTGGTAGAGTTTTGGCTACTCTCACATATTTGAAAAAATATTATGAAATTTTCATTGGAGCCATTTTTACCGAATATTTTCCAAAACGGTTTCAACTCCATAGAAGCTGCTCCACAAGAGGAGTCGGAGCTTGGTCAAACAAGACCTTTGTCTTGAGTCTCATTAGAAATCATGGATTTTAGCTTTGCCTTAAGTCAAACTTACTTCCATGAAATTACATAAAATATATTAACAGTTAACATATTAAATAAATGTTCAATCAAAATATATTGAGAAATTTACCTACATGGCCCTCTTAAAACTCAGGCTTCCTTTCTTGGCCCTGAAAATTTCCAACTTACCTATTTGGCCTCCAATCCGACTTTCGATTCCTTATCTGACCTTCCCGTCAATTCAACCCTGTAACGGTGTTAGATGAGAGACGAAAAGTCGATTCTACCCCTGGACGCGAAAGCATCGTTTTTGATAGTTTAGAATTCAGTTTTTGATATTTTATAATTCAAATTCTGTACTGTACGTTTTGTAGATGCTTGTAAATTGCATATGTTTCATTTTGAGCATTATTTTCACTTCTTGCACATAATTTTAGAACAAATCATAACTACAGCATTAGCACGCATTTTTTTCCAGACATGGAGCCAATTGCACATATAAATTCAGTTTGCACATTTTTGATATCTCAAATAAATTCAGTTCGCACGTACTGGACATCTAAAATAAATAGAATGATCTAGCAATAAAACAAACTGACATGATTATGGCTACTTCATTTCATTCTGAAAGTCATGAGACAGTAGGAGCTCAAAGCAAAACAATCGCAGCTGCATAGGTCAAGCACAAGATACTCAGAAACCAAAAAAAAACCCACATATGCAAACACATTAGCACTGCGACTGAATACTAGAACAAAAGACTTCAGAACAGCCTTGAGCTTTTAGTTTGCCGCACTAAGTTTCAGAAGCAAGTCAATCAACTGAAAACGCATAATCAAGCATCCCAGATATTCTATTAATAAACGCTCAATGAAAATCTCATAAGTCAATTTCGACAAATACTGTCCAAAGAGTCGAGAACCTTTTCGACGGTCATTAGTGAGAACCTCCATCGATGCTTGTCCAGGACGCCCAACATTAGCTACACTTAGTTGTCACATACACAAGCTAGTGCTACACACATGAGAAATCATAGGTTGAGCCTTCTTTTACTTCTTGTACTCATCACCGGGCTAGCAGGCTGAGAAGTTTTGCTTCGTGTGCCCATTGCGTGTATCAAGTCGAGTATCACCTTTGGCTTGTTTACCGCCTCTTTGGCGGCACTTTTCTTTTTTTCGTTTTGAATGTGACCTTTTAGCCTTGGCCTTCCTAGGTTGATCTATGTGGGCAGGGAAATCAATGGAAAGTGCCTCGGGTTGATTGGAGCCACTCCTTGACCTGGACATGTGAATATAGGGCAGCAATGATTTTTAGCAAATAGAAATATGAACAATGAAAAAAATTCAGAGTTGGAAATAGTACCTTTTTGATGTGCCTGAGTTGGAGCTACCATATTTCCCCTTTTTCTTACTTGATATCTCCAAGGATTGGCTGTGGTGAGAGACAAGCAATCTATTTAGTATCTAAGACAAATAGTCATTCATGATGGCATAAATTCATATTTTCAAACACTAGTGATAAGTACCTTTTAGATGTGTTGGGAGTACAATCAACAGATTTTCTCTTTTTCTTAGCGATGGTTTCCAAGCTTTGACTATGGTGAGACAAGAGGAACATAGAATCAATCATAAGTTTGAAGTGAACATGGGAGTAAGTTTGACATTGCAAGGGATATGCAATTGCAAACCTTGGTGGAAAAGACATGGATGCAGATGGTGCTTCTTCCAAAGGCATAATGGAACTTTCAGCAGATTTGTTGTTTTTTGCCCTCTTCTTTGGTTCTCCTCTGCAATGTCAAAAATAAGAAAGTCACTAATATGTCTTTTATTAAAAGCGGAGAAAAGAGTAGACAAATTATTACTTGATAGCTTTCATAGCAAAGAATGTCTTCTCGGTCTTCCTCGCTTGCAATTATGCCAATGATGTCCGTAGTCCATGCAAATAGGGCATTGGTGCTGGCCTTTACTCCTTTTCTTATCAAAGCTACCTTTGTGCCTCTCTGTTTTAGGCCTACCAGCTACTGGCTTTAATAGAGGTGGGTGCATGAAAAAATCATGAGTAGATTTTGGCCACTGAGTCTTGTCAGGCATAGCAGGGGATAAGTCGACTATATGCAACTCTAAACTTCTCAATGCAAGAATACATGTCAACATATTGCTCTATTGGTGCATTGCTAAGTGATGTGATGAATGCGAGTGCATGCTTGCAAGGAATTCGAAAACTTGCCACTGTCGACAAGAACATGTCCTCTCAAGTAGGTTAACCACAAACCTGAAGCCACTACCACCCATTGCTTGTTATTTCACCCACATGTTCTCCGCATTCTAGCACTTCCAAGTTTAATTCTCTACTGGCCTCATTCAATTTCTTTATTATGTGAGGTAGAATCAAGCCATCAAGTTTCTTTCCTATTTTTCTCCTTTGGTTCCACTTGGTCATAAGCGGTTGCCTAAACTTGTCCATGAAATCATCCAAGTTTAGGGACTTGTGATGCTTAATCCAATTGTTAAAAGACTCTGCAAGGTTGTTGGTTACGTAGTCTACCTTGCAAATGGTGGAGAATTGGCTCCTAGTCCACAACTTCTTGTGACACTTCCTTAGATAATTAGTTGCGTATGGCTTTGCTTTCTCCATTACAACCCAATGTTTCTCAAACAAATATGGGTTCCATGAGTAAGTCACGCCCAAAGATGATCATTAAACACCTTTCCATGGAACCTTTTTGAAGTTGCTCACCAAATGAAACATGCACTCTCTATGTTCACCCCTCGAAATACTTCACCCACCCTCATCATGATCGTCATCAAAGATCCGTGCATATGGCTAGACCCGGTGGTGATCCTATGCCCTGTCTAAGTGACTTTAAAACCAAATCCAATTCTCGTTAGTTTACAATCGAAAATTCCAATGCAAACAGGATACAACCAATTATGCCCATCAACAGCACAAGCGCTAGCCAGTTGCCCCTTGAACTGGCCAGTCAAGAATGTGCTATCTATTGCTAGGTACGGTCTGCAACCATTGAGGAACCCATCTATGCAAGGTTTGAATGCAAGGAAGAATCTTCTAAATCTTATCTTTCCATTAACAGTATGATGGTCAATAATTACTAAGCTACCAGGACAAGAAACCTCAACTTGTGCTTTAAACCTATAAAGATTGTCAAAGTCTTATCCCAGTCACCATAAAGTTGTTTCAATGCTAGTTTCTTCCCATCATATACTCTCTTGTAGTTGATGTTTACCTTATGGTGCTCTTTAATCTTCTTTTGCAAGTCCTTTGCTCTCAAAGTTGCATCCTCTATAAGGAAGTCCTTCACTTTTGCACATATCCAATGTCTGGTTGCATTTTTGTGGTTCTTTTTCCTTCTTGTACTAGAACAAGCATGGGCACAAGGATTTCTTTTCACCTACAAAAGAGAAACACAAAGTCGAAAAAGATAGCATAAAAGTAAAAAACAAGATAAAAGATTGTACAATTACACGCACAAAGGCATTAAGTCTTGAGTGGTAGATGCAAATATCCACCATGGACAACTATCTAAGTCCCTCCATGAACAATATGCTCGAAACCGATTTGGTGCACTCTTTGCAATGTTGAACTCAAATTCATGTTTTATTGCATGTTTGAGATATAGCCGACCTAAACTCCGGCATGCTATCATAAGTCGAGCCTACTCCCATCGGAGGATCCTCTCAGATCATATTCTACATTTGGAGCATAGTTTTCCTCATCATATGGCAACTCCTCTTCACATGGTAACTCATCCGACACATCCTCACCCTCACTATCATCAAGGGGCACATCTCCACCCTCACTATCATCGTGGG